GGGTGTGGGATGATTGTGGAGGCTACAGCCTGGATTAGTATAGTCTGGGCCTTAGTTGAGAATCTGGAGAAGTGAAGAGTGACCTAATGTTCTTCTCTATTTACTGTAGAAACAGTGCTGTGCCTTGGGTGGGGGTGACTACACTGGTTATATCATGGCTAACCAAAGGCAGGCCTGCATTTGATATGGACACACAGATATCAACTCACTTTTATACCCTTATCTGCTATTCCCCTGGACAGGAGACCTATATTCTGAACTCTATTAGAGTTGAAAAACACTGTACTAGTAAAATTTTGATAAATGCTATAAAGAAAATAATGGATTGTGCTCAGGAAACCTTAGCATGTCTTCTATTACAGGAAGGGAGTATCAGTGAGTTTGTCTGAGGAAGATATTATAGTGTGCTTCACAATATATTGAGGCCATGACAAGAGTAAGGAATTCTTTTTTTCTTTTTTAATAGTTGTCAGAGGGTATATGCTCTTGCCAGAGAGAGACTGGGATACAGAGAAAGAGGGAGAAAGCATCCACAATGCTGCATAGTCATACCATGGCCCCTTTTCTTCTCCACACACACCAAGAGTGTTTTCAAGCTATGGAGAACAGGATTCAAACTGTGTTTGGCCATGCAGGCTCTGGTTCCCTTAACCACTAGACTACTGACCAGTTCAGTAAGGAATTCTAAACAAAAGAAGTGCAATATGTCAAAACACTTGATATGGACAAAGCAGGAATTTTGAATATCAACCTTGAAGTATGATCATTAGTCCTAGTAAGACATTGTGAAAAGAAACTGGAATGTAAATTTCAGACATACTGTTGCATTTATCTGTCCTTGGATACTGCCTTCATTCTGCTTCTATATTATATTAAGACCAATGAGAGGCAATAATCTTGAAGTCTAAAATGACTTCATGATTGCCTAACTGGTGAGTAGTAAAGGACTTAGAATCCAGTGACATATCCAATTATACATTGAGAACTGAAGGAGAGCTATAGTAAAATAATGACATTATATTTAGTTAGTGATTGGATAAGAAGCTTTGTCAAGATTCTGATTACCAGTGACAATGTATAATTGGTTATACATTGAGAACTGAAGGAGAGCTATAGTAAAATAATGACATTATATTTAGTTAGTGATTGGATAAGAAGCTTTGTCAAGATTCTGATTACTGTTACAATTATATTTTAGGGAGATGCAAGAGATTAGAACAAGAAGATGCTACCTTGTTTAAGAAACTGCTGAGCATCATTCATGGAAGTGTCAGAAGAATGTGAGGACAGGCCATGGTTGTTGCTACGCCGGTTGCTGAAGCTTCCAGAGGATGAAGGGGTGTTCTTCTGCTTCTGGGAGGAATTCATCCTTCTGGAGGCATACATTTCTGGTAACAACTTTCCTGTTTTCTAAGGGAAGTAAATGTTTATTTTTCTGGTTAATGTTTTTAATATGAGTTGGGTATGATGTAATTTTTTCTTTTTAATATCCCTTTTTACTGCTTCTTTCCTCTGTCAGTTTTCCCTGGAGCAGTAGCATAAATTTAGCTTCTTTAATACACATTCCAGCACATGCAGGAGCCAGCATTACAGTTTTAAGATTACAAAGGACAAAACTCATACGACTAACAATTTGTTTGTCTTAGATACAACCTTAGGTCTACCTCTGTTGTAAACTAGAATGAGTTAACTTGGTCAAGCACCTGACCTTATTGGTAGATAATGCTCCCTGGTTATAAAGGTAACAAGTGTCAGAATAAAATCAGAACTGAGAAATGTTTGTAAGTAATTCTTTCTCTGCAAACAAATACACAAATAGCTTCTTATCATCTATCACTCAAGGCTTCATTAGAGCCAGTACTTCATCTTTTCGCGTGAACTGGTCTTTTTTGTTTGCTGAAAAGATTCGCTCAAAACCACAATTCTGGAGGAAGGCTTTAGCTGTCTGTATGAGGCAACTAGAATCTTCCAGGATTCTCAATTCTAATCACAAAAGTCTCAGATTCCACTCAGGAAGTTCTCAGTATCTGGCTTTTCATATTTTGTTTAAGCAAGGACAGAAAGTATCTGTAAAATACTTTATCTTGACTATCATTAATTACAATAGTAAAAGCTCATGTCTACATATTATGCCAATTTGCTACACTTTTTCTCACTTCTGGCCTTTGGTAATATAAAGAGGTGGATGAGGCGGGCTTATATAACTGGTTGCTGGAATATGGGTCTCTCCTTAGCAAGTCTCTAACCACTCTCAGATGTCTCATATATCAGTAGAAGGCTGCAGATATCAAGTTATTAACAAATATAAAACCTTCACTGTCTGTTTGAAATATCTTTGTACATAAACATATAACTATGCTATAGCTATTTTAATATCTGCTTTTCCATACTAGAAGAATCATAGTCCCTAAACTCCAAACCTCAGTAATCTCATTCGTGAGACTGGAAAAATAATAGGATCTTTATGGGTTATAATAAAGAATAAATCATACAATATGCATACAAAAAGGACTTCAAAAGCTCATGAAAAAAATGGAGTTAAAATACAAGTTTATTTTG